TCCTGGGTTTTCCCATCGGGAGGCCGATGCCCTCTGGTGAGGATCAGACTGGCATCCATCAGGGTAGGGCAGAGAGATTTCTCAAGATTTTTTGATCAGTTGTTTTAACCTCCCAGTTTGCTGGGAAAGCTTTTAATCATACAGGATGGAATTATACCATGGGAGTGTTGGAGTAATTTAGGTTTGGCACCGGCTTTATTAAAATAATGATGACTATTTGTGCAAGACCAAACTTCTACATTTACTGATGGAACACCTTCCATCCCTCCTTCCTTCCACCCGTTCTTTCTTCCCTCCTTCCACCTGTTCATCAGTCCATCCGTCCATCCACCCACCCAGCCATCCTTTCTTCATCATAAACACAAAGGATGACTGCTACTGACCCAGCCCGGATTTGCAATGAGTGCGTGATTTGTAAGTCTTTCCAGCCCATTTAACCTCCTCTCTCTCCTCCCTGTGCTCCATACCTGCCCTTCTCACGAGCAGCCCCGAGATGAGGTGCCAGATGCACTGTGCAATCCAAGTCTTGCCTCAGTGGGGACTGGGACCAGTTGTCCAAACGTCCTCCGCCTCTGTGATGTAACCCAAGACCGTCATGGAGGCTTCCTCCGGCTCTCGGCAAGCTTGTGACATGACCGGCTGATGCAGTCCAAGGAAACCCACAGAGGGGGACACATGACTCACAAAGGCTTGAGATTGCCAAAGCACCTCTAGTGACATTACCATGAAGCACGCAACAGGCAAGATGGCATCTGGAGAGGGAGAGGTCAGCCTCCCGAGTTAAATGCATCGCCGTGTCATCTGTTGTGTGGTCCACGGATGAAGAGCACATTAAAGGAGGTTTGGTTTTAACCTCTGCGGTAGCCAGGGACGTTGTGGTAATGGTAATTCCAGGTTTGGTAACAGTGGGCACACCACCAAGGCTGAAAAAGTTTCTCCCTGGAGAACTGATACAGTGATGCATGGCTTAAGTTACTGTGACGACTCCCACTCTGATCTCTTTGCAGTTTTGTGGCTGGCTGCTGCTTCTGGAAGGATTTTTCTTCTAACGCCCTCTTAGAAAAAGAAGTCAGGTATCTTGTGACCAGGGGAAGTGCTAACACCAGTAACATTTGCACAAAAGCACAGCATTTCAGGCTTCAAAAAAGCACCGTCCTACAGAGCACCAAGGGAGGAGTTCTTGTCACTGCTTTCTAGGTCAGACAGCCCCAGGCTTGAGAGCAAGCAGCAGTTGTCCTTTGCCTGAATCCCAAGAGGCTGGAATGGGTTTCGGATAAAATATACAGACTTGTGGGCAAGAACCCCACAGAAGGGTTACTGACAGGGCAGCTATGGGATAGGGGAAGTTTTAAAACGACAAGGAGACGTCAAATGGAGCACCGCTGCAGCTGATGGGAGCTGTGGTTGCTCAGTCCTCTGGAGAGCTGCCAGCAAAACTGTCCCAGGCAGAAAAACTGCACAGCGATATGTCGGTGGCAACTGGGGACATGCAGGTGGCTGCAGTATCGCGTGGGTCTCTCTAGTGGTGGGTCTCTCGTGTGGGTGTCCCTAGTCCCTGTCCCCGCCTGTTTCACGCACCTACTCTGCCGTGACGCGGTTTGACACGGGCACGGGAGAGCTGCCCTGGCAGGAGCCTGTAACACTCGTGCAGGAGGCGAAGCCGTTTGGTAAGGAAGGCTTAGGCAGGGCAACCTCGGAGGCACACCGCAGGCGCTCTCGCCAGCGGAAGGAGAGTTGCAGCCAAAGGTGACTCTGGCGGTGGGCGGTGCGGCTGAGGAAGACGGCACCAGAGGGACGGAGGTGGTGCCAGCAGAAACCATGGAAAGAATGAGGGAGGTTCACTCTCTGAGACAAATTATTTGGGGTGTGTCACCAAGACCCGGCTGCGTGGTTGCTGGACTGGCAATCTACGTCCAGCCGGCACAAGCTGTTGAGGTGGCAGGCTGGTATGTGGCCCCAAGCTTTTCTGTTGCTCAATCCGGTGCAGGAGTGAGAAAAACACAGGGTCTGGAAGGGCTGTTATGGGCTGGGAGTAAGATGAGCAACAGGATAGGTGGAGAATGCCCAAGCCAAATCAAGACAGTCAGCTAAAAGGTAAGACAGATAGGAAAAACCAAACAAATCCTGCCCAGGCCTGAAAGTGGACTATTTCTCTCAGGTTTGCCTGACCCAAATAGCTAAAGGCATGATAAAGCCCAGGCTGTTGCTGTTGCTGCGGTTTAAAACTCCTGTGTGATCAGCAATGGGCACGTGGAGCCACGCGCTGCAGCGGCAAGATGCGTCTTCAGCTACCGTGGCTGCTCAGGCGCAGGGGGCTGGCGGCGAGCGGGGCAGGGGCTCTGAAGCCTTTTGGCTGCTGGAGTTCTGGTAATGGGGCCTCAAATACACGGGGTCATCACTTGCAAAAGGCGGGGGGGAAGGACAGAGTCCCCCTTTGCAATGCTCCTGCAGAGGAGCGGAAAGGGCAGCGTGCGGCAGTCGGAGCGACAGCGTGGCCGGGCCGCTGGGCTGAGTTGTGCCAGGGAGCCCAGGACAAGTTTCTGGAGGATGAAGGGGGACTGGCCAGAGCAGTTCACGGACAGGAGGAGAAGCCCAAGGGGGAAACAAAGACATGTCACCACGCACCCTAACTGGGTCACAGCAAGAATGGAAGGAGGCTCCAAGAATCGAATTTTGCCCCATCTTCCCACTGGCAAAGGCTGCGCTAACAACGAGGCCGTGGCTGGGGTTGCCATTAGCTGTCACCAGTCACCTGGCAGAACAGGTTCCTGTGTGACAACTGGATTACAGAAGGAGAGAGGAAGCGAAAAGCCGAAGAGCAGCTACTAAGGGCCCTGTGACACAGAGTTAACCCAGTTAATTGGGAATGACCAACGATCCCCTTCTAACGCGATGCTGAAGGGAGACACGAAGGATCAGGCAGACCAGGGAAAAATTTGTACCGACCAGCCCCATCTTAAACACTGACTGACCCGCACTGGGGGCTGGACAAGGACTGGCCTGTAGCACTGCCAAAAGTGAGCACCTAAGTTATCTCAGAAGATGGCAGAACCCACAGGCTGCCTGCACAGACCCAGCCCATCGAGCATAAACCCTACAGGATAACCCGGTGTCTGAAGAAGATGGGCAAGATATCCCACGGTCAGATCAACACCGGCTGTTCCGTGATAGAGCTCAAGTCAGACAGCGAGAGCCGGCCTGCCCGCGGCCATAAGGACGCGCACAGGGGGTCCCTTCTACCCCTACGGCATCATACTTGATCTGGAAGATTTTCTTGTCTTTGGTCAATGTCGCTTGGTCACACTTTCCTCCCGAGAAGTGACGATGAACAAAGCATCGCTCACGCTGGCTGAGCAGGCCTGCGGCTTGATTGCACTTGGTTCACCTGCAGGCCTGCGGCAGGTAGAAATGACGTTGTGGCCGCAACGTTCGGAGGCTGGTGGTGTACCTGCCAGAGAAAGACCACGGGAGCAGGGTGTGCTGGAAGGTCTGTAGCGCACGCAGCAGCGTGAGCAGCACAGAAACTCAATCCCGGGCCGTACCCTTGCAACCAGAGCTCGCATGCAGCAGCCTGGAGCATCTGGGCTCTCCTGCTGCGTGATGCTGGAGTGATCCACCATGTGTAACCTCGGTCTGCTCAGATCACACCTTTGTTTTGCTAAGCAGACATCCCCCCTCCTCCTCCTCACCTCAAGCACTCCCCCCCGGGGAGCGAGGCACAGTGAGAAGGGGCAGGTTCTGGGCAGCGCTGTTTCATCACGCCCCAGGTCTGCCTGACCACACCTTTGCTGCGGTTGGTGCTTGGCAGAGGAAGGACAGCAGGGAAAGTCAGTGCAAGGCAGGAAGCGAGTACCGAGCTGGGGAGGAAGCAGCGCTATCATTTCACGTGACTCATCTCTTCCCAAGACAGGGGGATAGGCCCCATAGCCAGGGCAGAGCACTCGGGAAGCCTTTCCCACCTTGCCTCCCAGCCCCAACTCCAGGGACCCTCCTCGGTTCCCATTCCCCTCTGTTCTCTGGACGGGAGACCAACAGCTACGCTCCCAAAGACCGCTGCTGGCCGAAGGACCAGTCCCAACCCGCCTCCTTCTGCTGGATTGCTGCGCGTGTGTGCGGACGAGCTCGGGGCTCCCTTTCACGGCGGGTCACGGACAGGCTTTTCTCTACAGGGTGACGCAAGGCAGACTTAAGCCCTGCTACCTACAGGCTCAACTGAAAATTGTTACTGGACAACACAAAGCAGAAAAGCAAGGCAAGTCACCTTTGAGAATAAGATCCCCCCTTTCATTTGCTTGCTCTCAGACAGGAGGGCAGTTT